TCTAAAAGCATATAATTTTTTGTAACCCCCCCCCCCATCAACAGTCTCTTATACTGTTTATAAAGTTGTACTGGCCAATGCAATAGTCACTAGCACATACAGCTATGCAATTTAATTAAAACAATAAAATTGAAAGTTCAGTTCCTCAAATTGCTCAACAGGCATATGTCACCAGTGGCTAACATACTGGACAGTACAGATAGAGAATGCTCCTGTCCTCATAGAAAGTTTATTGGCCAGCACTGATCTTATACTGTTTATAAAGTTGTACTGGCCAATGCAATAGTCACTAGCACATACAGCTATGCAATTTAATTAAAACAATAAAATTGAAAGTTCAGTTCCTCAAATTGCTCAACAGGCATATGTCACCAGTGGCTAACATACTGGACAGTACAGATAGAGAATGCTCCTGTCCTCATAGAAAGTTTATTGGCCAGCACTGATTGAGGCTTCTAATAAATATTATTATTGTGAGAAATGGTCACTAGAGGACAGAACTTAGGTCATATTAATCAATGACCTCTACAAATCCACCTACATACTTTGTCCAGGAAATAAATTCCACTCTTACAGCATGAGTAGCAAATTGAAAAATACATTTCAGCTTTAACAGGTAATTTGGGTCCTTACCAAAAATTTCTTTTTCTCATTGACCCCTGCACATGAGCCTGTTGTTACTGTGGGGCTGTTCAGAAGGGCTGAGCTGCTGCTGTTGTGTTTTTTCTTTAAAAACAAAAAAACTGAGGTTAATGACTTGTATTCTCCATGCAACAGAAAAATGTTTTACATTACTCAAATAAACTGTGGGACCAAAGAGCCAACATCTCTTGTTACAATTACTTTCTAGCAAATCCTTTCCACAACCTTCGTAACTACAGACTTCATTGTAATAACACAACAGCAGGCAAAATTTAAAAAGGAAAAAAAAAAGGACTTTTTTTAATTCCTAAAAGGTAAGAGCCTCTTAAGGAATCATCAGGGACTACCTCTACTCCCCTTTTTTCTAGAATGGTCCCTTAGTACTTTCCAATTCAAAAAGGCTGCTTCTTTTCACCCACACCAACAGTCCAGTTAGGAAAAGTTCAGCTAACTGGAGCAGGGTTAGCAAGCACACTCTACACATAGGAAGACAGGAAGGAAAGTGAGGTCATTAGACTCAAGCCTGGGGGAGGGGATTCATTTCTGGTAAAATGCTCCTTCCCAAAGTGGCTTTGAATACAAATAAATTACAGCAAAGGAGAACTCACACAATTATACAGAATAATGTATGAAAACAGTATAAGAATAGGTCCTGATTTGTTATTTCCCCCAGTTCTGTAAGATAATTAGAGGTAACTTTCTAATCTATTATAACAAATAACAAAAAGACTCCCTCTACCCCCAGGGACCCTAGAATTCCTAAAGGCAGGAAATACTCTGGGAGGGTATATCTACCAGACCAAGTTCTAAAGTTTTATACTTTCTTTGTAGCTCTCAACAATTGGCAGACAAGATGCAAGGGAGGAACAGAGTTCAGCTAATAAGAGAAGACCCACAAATTCAATGTTCTGGACACATTTTCATCAAACATATACTAAGTATAACCATGAGATGGATGCACTAGATAGCCGCCAGTAGGAAAGCTCCTCATCTATCCACCCTTCTCTGTAGGCCAAATTACCCAAGAAACAGAACAATAAATGGTATCAGACATGGGAAAATTTCAACATCACCTAAGTTTTAAATCTTAAAAAAATAGGAAAATGTTTTCCTAAAGCAACACATGACTGGATAAAACAGGCACTCTCAACTACCTGAGTCAATAATAGGAAACAATAATAAAACCACTTATTGTTGCTCTCTTAGAGTATGTTATGTAATACTTTAATAAATAAGTCACTCTTCCTAATGTGAAAATTAATTTTTCCTGAGTACATACTATAACATAGCTGAAGACCTTCTGAGGTATAGATCATAAATCTGATCTAACAAATATTCAGTAAAGGCAAAAGAATTACATGAATACCGTCTCTATAACAAAGGAAAGAATTATTATTCTTATTGCCCACAGATGAAATACTTTGTGTAAGGATTCCAGATCACAGACCCATTCTGGCTGGTATACATTATTTACTATTTAACACGCATGTGAAAGGGACCAACAGCACCCAAGTCTGATATTAGGGTAACCTTAACTTCTCATGTATTTCCCATTTAGAAACTCCCTCCCCAAATAAATCCAGTTAAGCTCTGATAGAGCCACACATACCTGCCTATTTGAGTGACCTGTGTCCTTGTTCTTCATGGTCTCATAGCCAGATACCCGGGGACGTCGGCTCATCTGGAGAGCCACCAGATCCTTCATGATGGAGTCCAATGCCTCCTGTTCATCTGCATTGAACGAGAACACATGAGCTAAGAAACTTAAATAGAGCAGCAACACACTACTTACACAAGTTATACTACTAATACTCAAGAGAGTTCTGCCCTGGGGAAAGTGACAGACCCTGAGCCAGGTGTGGTGGCACATGCCTGTCTGTAATCCCTACATTTGGGACACAGAGGCAAGAGGACCACCACAAGTTTGAAGCCAGCCAAGGTTATACAGCAACACCATCTCAAAAAACAGAAAGACAGACCCTATAACTACAGCCACACATAGTAGATGTAAAGATAACTGAAATCAGGCTACAGAAATTTGCATTTTAATATTGTCTAACAGTACTCCAATCAGATTTCTGACAATGAACTGATTGGAACTAAGAGAGTTAATATTTATTCAATACCAGAGGAATTCAACCAGGAAAAAAAAGAAAAGTTGAAGGACTAGTACAGCATAATAGAGTAGGTATTTGAATGAAAATATAAATTCAGATAAATTCAAAGAGAGCTGATTTAGGGATAGGGTTGGTCCCAAACCTTTTTTTTTTTTTTCTTTCAAAACAGGGTCTGGAACTGCCTATGTAGACCAGACTGCCCTTGACACTTGTGTGAGTGTTTTGCCTGCGTGTATTTAAGTGTACTCACACCTGCAATACCCATGCCACAAGAACACATCAGATCCCCTGGAACTGGAGTGACAGACAGTTGTTAGTTACTATGTGGGTGCTGGGATCCAAACCTGGTCCTCTGCAAGAGCAGCCATTGCTCTTAACTGCTGGAGCCATCTCTCTCCAGTCCCCTACTGTTTTTCTTAACCAGACCACAGCAATACATTATCTAGCTCTTACTGGTTTTACTTTTAATCCCTTTCTTTTTAAAATAGCATGGAGTACTAGAGTTCTCACACCGTGGAGACTACTGACCAAAACCCAGAACACATACCAGCCCAATCTCAAACTTTATGATATTTTCCAACAGATTTTTGTCCACCAAACAAATAACATTTAAAGGTTGAAAATAAGCATATCTGTTGATCTGGAAGGGAACATGAGGGGTGAGTTATTATTACTCCCCAAGTGACTCACTTTGGGACTTAGGGCACACCTTTAAAAGAAGCAAGTAAAGAAGACTCCACCCAAAGAGTGCTGGTCTCCTGCTCTTTATTCTTGTGCCATGGGAAAGAATATTATTTCTAATACGCTATGGGAAGGAAAGAACAGCATGAATCTAGTCTCTGCTTTCAGACTCTCTGCCTCTTCCCTCATCCTGGAACATCTCTGAAGAGGTATAGGAAAGAGAGGAAAACGGTACCTTTAACAATATCTTTAACTATTCAGAAAAGGTAATGTAGATTTAAAACTAGAAAAAAAACTTCGGAACAGTAAATTCCCATATAGTTTCAATTTAAAACATATACAAAAATAATTAACCTGGTACAGTGGCCCATGCCTTTAACCCAAGGACTAAAGAGGCTGAGGCAGTTGGTTCATGACTTAGAAACCAACCTGGACTACTCTGTCTCAAAAAAACAGGGATGAAAGGAAGTATGTACTGCATACACAGTTCTAATATTCAACAATTAGAAACCTTCAATGAAATAATTCAGTAGAGACAAATGAGAAAGTAGATCTCTCCAGAAAGACAAACATAAATTCCATCATTATTTTATATTTTTCTAGAAATTTCTCTACTGGTTTTTAAAGAAAGAGAACTTAAGAGTAGAAAATGTAGCTCAGTGGTGGGGGTAAAGAGAATCTACTTTTTTACTGGTTTTTTTTTTTTTTTTTTTTAAAGATTTACTTATGCCGGGCGTGGTGGCACACACCTTTAATCCCAGCTCTTGGGAGGCCAGAGGCAGGGGGATCCTCTGTGAGTTTAAGGCCAGCCTGGTCTACATAGTGAGTTCCAGGCCAGCTGGGGCTACAGGGAAACCCTGTCTCAAAAGGACCAAAAAAAAAAAAAGAAGATTTACTTATTATTATTTTATAAGTTTTTGCCTGCATGTACATATGTGCACCACATGCACGCCTGGTGCCCAGGACAGAAGAGGGCATTGAATCCCCTGAAACTGGAATTACAGATGCTTGTGAGCTACCATATGGGTACTGGGAACCAAAAAGAGGTCCTCTACACAAGCAGTAAGTGCTCTTAACAACCAGTCATCTCTCCAGTCCCAAGTTCTATTGTATTTCTAAAAAATATTTTATTATTTTCTATTTTTATGTGTATGCATGTACTGCCTGCATGTGTGTTAAGTGCACCCATGTCATTCAGTGCCCGTGGAGGTCAGAAGAGGGCGTCAAAACCCCTGGAACTGGAGTTAGGAAGGTTGTTAGCTGCCATGACCCAGAACCTGGGTCCTCTGCAAAGGCAGCCAGTGCTCTTAACCACTGAGCCATCTCTCTAGCCTCTGTTCTATTGTATTTTTAACCTCATAACCAAAATTTAAAAACAAGAACAGAGGCTGAAGAGGCTGAGGGTATAGTCCAATGGGACAGAGCTTGTCTAGCATGTGCAAAGCCCTAGTCCTGGGTTTAATCGCTAGCAACACACACACACACACACACACACACACACACACACACACACTCTCTACAGTGTAAGATCTGGCTTAAATATGATAACAATACATATAAAGTGGCTTGTATCATTAAATATATTAATTGCACCAACTATAACAATAAATTAGGATCAATATAAGCAAGATTAGCACTAGATAAATTTTGTCTGAGAAGCATCCACCAATAATCCTAAGAGCTTAATATTATAATGCATGACAGAGTTTCAGTATCAAAGTTACCACACTTGAAGAACTGAGCATTTCTGGACAAGGTATATGTGTGTGCATGTGTGTATTTCAGTAGTAGAGTACTTACCCAGCATGTGTAAGGCTCTGCCTTCTATCTCTGGGGCGGGGGGGGGGGGGGGCGCAGGGAGACAGAATATGAATATTCAAATTTCAGTGGAACCAAGGTGGATCACACACACACACACACACTTTTCAAATCAAACCCCTAAATATGACTGGAGAAACACTTTCAAAATGTGTATAAAATGATGCTATTATGAGGGCTGGTTTATCAGGCTGACGAAATCTTTGAGGAAGCTAACCAATTCTCAGTGTAATTGGTGGTTCTAGCACTGACACACGCTAGAGGAGGAATGGCTGGAGACTATCACCTGAAACCTAGAACAACTGACATACATGAAGCAGAGTTATAAACTGAAGTTTATGAGAAAGTCATCCATGACTAGAAGCAACTGATACTTCAGTGGAGACTCAGATGAAGACAAGAAGTAAACTAAACTAAGGGGCTCTTTTCGGCGTTCCTTCCTGGATTCAAATTTTAACTAAATTAGCAGCACTTCCTCAGTGTGGAATTCAATTTAAAAAAATTTTTTTAAAGCAAGCACTTTCTTAGATTGCCAACAGTCAAGAATATGAAATCTGAGTCAGAAAGATCTGACTTTAAGGAGACCTTAAAGAAATCACTTATTTCCCCTAAATCTCAACTCCGTTTCCTCATCTGCAGCATGGAGGTTAATAAACCATCTTTTCACAGAACTGCTGATAGAGACAGAGAGAAAAAAAAAAAGAAAAAGAAAACTTACAAATTACTTCTCATGGTACCCAACACTTAGTTAATGCTTAAAAAATGCTGGCTGTTATTATCATCAATAGGAAAAGGTCAATGGAAAAAGACTGGAAGGGCTACTCAATTAAACCCAGTACTTAACGTATTCTCGAGTTTTTATTAATCATTAAGAATAACCACTTGCTGAATATTTATCATGCATTATACATTACGAAGTCTTAAAAGCTACTTCAAGATATCCAAATTCTTAGGGTAAAAGCATAAATAACACAAATATTATGTTATTTTTAAAAGTGGACTGAAGATACAGGCAGTTGGCACCAATAATCCTGGCACTCAGGAGGCTAAGGCAGTGGTATCATGAGTTTGGGTCAGCCTAGGCTATATAGTGAGACCCTGTCTCAAAATAAAAATTAAAAAAGTAAGCTAACCAGGGACAATGACACCACCTCCAATCTCAGCCCTAGGGAGTCTGAAGCTAGAGGAGCAAAGCAAGTTCAAGGATATCCTGGGCTAATACAACAAGACCTTGTCTCAAAATAACAAGTGAATACACAAAAGTAAGCTGAATTGGACAACATACAAACCATAGTATACATGAAAACAAATGGAAAAAATTTAATGTTAGCAGCAAGAGGCTGTATATAGATGGTTTTACATCATTACTAACAAAGTTTTTTTTTTTTTCAGAATAACAGCCAGAACTAGCTCACAAAATGAACTGAAGAAGCGGGGGGCAGGCATAGATCAATGATCTTAATCAAGACAAGTGGAAAGAAGGGGGAGCTGGCAAAGCTCTGTTAAGGGTTTTAGAAAGAGAATGACATCCTAGAGGCCAGAGCCAAAGAACAGCAGTGGTAGGCATAGGAAATTCCATACAACATTAGGGGCAGAAACACACTCTTCTAAATTTTGTGTTAATTAATTAACTGTGTGTGTGTGTGTGGAAGTCAGAAGACAATTTGTAGGAGTCTGTTCTCTCCTTCCGCCATGTGGCTCCTGGGGATGGAACTGGGGCTGACAATTTGGCAGCAAGTGCCTTTACCCATTGAGCCTTCTTGGCCCAGAAATAGAATTTTAAAGAGAACCAAAAAACTGGAGATTAAAAAGAAAACTAGACCAGCCGGGTGTGGTGGCGCACACCTGTAGTCCCAGCACTTGGGAGGCAGAGGCAGGTGGATCTCTGTAAGTTCAAGGCCAGCCTGGTCTACATACGTGTTCCAGGCCAGGGGCTACAGGGAGGCCCTGTTTCAAAATGACAGAAAAGAAAGAAAGAAAGAAAGAAAGAAAGAAAGAAAGAAAGAAAGAAAGAAAGAAAGAAAGAAAGAAAGAAAGAAAGAAAGAAAGAAAGAAAGAAAGAAAGAAAGAAAGAAAGAAAGAAAGAAAGAAAGAAAGAAAGAAAGAAAGAAAGAA